AGTCTTCTGAGAAAAAAAAAAGATACTTTCTGCTCCATCAGATCATTTTTCCCGTAAAAGACCTTGATTTTTTTAATTAAGAGAAATTATATCATGCTGCCAATTAAGACAGGAAACATCTTAGGAGTTAAAAGCAAAAATGTGCTTTGGAATTCGCAGAAGCATTCCTATAGCATTTTTCTGCAGCTCCTTAAACCAAGCAGGCCTTTTCTCAAAACCACACTGCAGTTATGGACAGCTACACGATTCCAGGAAAAAAAAAAAAAACCAAACAAAATAGTTTTTAAGGAATTGCAGGCAGGGCTTGAGAATATCCCCATATGCTCTATAAAAAGTACTTTTCTGGTTTCATATTGGAAAGAGTGCAGTAAACCCTTATCACAGTCTAACATTAGAAGTATATTTATTTTAATATAAAACTTTATTATACTTATACTATGAAAAATTGCATTAATCAGAAAACAAATTAAGATTTATAAAATTCATGTTTGAACATATTAACATGAGAGTTGATTGATATTTTTTGTCTCTTCCACCACAACTAACATTTATTTCACTGTCAGGATGATTATTTTTGCTATTGGTCAAATTAACTGACAGAATCGCAACACATTTTACTTAGGGAGCCTGAAAATAACTTTGAAGATTGGAAAGCAATCCATGAAGGATTTGAAACAGATGTTCCTTCTTGTTTGCTTCACCAGTACCCTAGCACTTCATAATCTGATTTGTCAGCAAAGGAAAAGTTTTTACTTGAAAGAGACAGCTGCAACAAACAGTAATTATTGCTGTGAAGGGTGAATTTCGTTATTTTATTTGTTTTAATAAGCAATCTGTATTTATGATCTACAGATCTAATATTAATTAAGAATGGATGAATAATTTGATAATAAAATCATTATTTTCTATAAAATTGGAATCAATTTGTACATTAATTAATGTTGGAAACAATCGCTTCATTTTATATTTATACACACAAAGATATAGACCTCTTTCATTTGAAATATTTCTATTATAGCTTATTTGGTTCAAAAGAAGAACTTAATTTTAATATAAAACTTAAATACATAGTGAAGGTTCAACATTTCATTTATTTTCATATAGAACAAGTCCACTGAAATCAGTGTGGTTTATGTTAACTAACTTCAGTATGTTTATTCTTGGCATGAGTAAGTTTGAGTCCTATCCATTATTATTTTATTAATGATTATTTCATTGACAGAACTGCCTTGTGGGATGCAAGGATTGCAAGGAGAAAAAGAAAACTGTGAATTATTAGATTTCACACTAGCACATAAATTTATATATGCTACAATTATCAGGAAACATAAATACTCCTTTGAGACAACTTCTGATGACCAGATGGATGCAACTATATTGTTTTCTTCGCAAAAGCAGAAGAAATTTGAAGAATAGCAGCGATCAGGAATAAAAAACTAAGTCTTATAAAAGAATTGAAGGAATTGATTTGATGTGAAAATTGCTTTACTTAACAATGTAGGAAGGTTTTCCCCCCTTTAGAATATGAAACTTAGATTATTGAGACTATTCTCAAAGCAGTAACATAGCAGACACTAGAGGAGGCTGGCAGAGCATTTGCCTTAAGTACTTTATCAGTGAACTAAAATAGGGTAGAGGTAGTCCTTGACTTACAACCATTGTTAAATCAATGATTAACAACAATTCAAAGTTAACAAAAGTCTCAGAAAGAGTGCATAAAACACCGTGCTTGCCCCTCTAGATGCATGATAGTGATCTGAATGCTTCTTCCCACTTATGATGAGTTGCCAAGTGCAATTCTCTGCCAGCTTTCCCAAAAACTCAATGGGGAAGCTGGCAGGGAAGGCGGCAAGCTCCTGCCACCTGTTGAAGGATTTCTCCTTTCCTCCATGCAGGAGGAATTGGGAGGATGCTCATTGGGTTGCAGGAATGGGGCTTGGATATTTGGGATCCATGTTTGGTTTCTATTGCTGCAGGAGTTCCCTATCACACATGGAAGGTTACTGCCTGCCTGTCCTTTCACTCTGTCAGCTTAAGAACCACAACAAAGGATTGCAGTTTTTGAACAAAGTGATCATGTCTTGTTTAATGACCACTTCACTCAACAACTAAGATTTCATTTCCAATTATTATCATAATGATCTGTAATCTAAACTCTATCATTCCACTAGTAGGCTACATAGGTTACAGAGAAAGAAATGTAAGCAGTAACCATTCTGAGTAGGTCAGATACTACATTTAATATGTCTAGCATACTTGTGACACAAAATATCTATAACCAATGTGCTATTTTAAAAAAAGCATAAATTTATGTTAATTTAGTAAAAATAATTGTCTAGTTCTGATCGCAATTGGACCAGGGTTGCTGTTGCTAGGTGATGATGTTAAAAAGTGTGACATCACATAACATATTGTTTAGCAACAGCAATCCTGGCAGTCCTGGTTGGCACATAACCCTGAGACATAACATAACACATGGGTAAATGGGAAAGAGATGAAGTTTCAGGTAAGAAGCACGGGGATGCAACCCCGTGGCCATGGGGTGAGGTGCTGTAGGATATGTTCAAGGAAATTGGGAGAACCAGCCTAGGCCACATGTGAACACAGCGAGGCCAGGTTGGTGGACCAACCAGAGTGACATGCATCCTTCTCTGCTGGCTTCCCCATTGACTTGGCTTGCAGAGTCAGGAAGGAAGATTGCAAATGGCAACGATATGACTGTGAGGGTATGGCAACAGCCAGAATTTTGAGGAATGATCATAAGGACCACTCATCCAGTGTCATAGAAACTTTTAACGGTTGCTGAATGAATGGGTTGGTGAGTGAATAAGGTTCTCATGTGCTCAGACTCTAAAACAGATCAAATTTATGACATCTGGACATTGAAGAACTTTTATCCTCTTCATCACAATTTTCATCTGCTACAAAAATACACATTTATTTATGTACGCATTTAAAATATTTGTATGGCTGCCCATACAAATTAACTCTGGGCAGCTAACAACAAATAGACAGAAAATGAAAATTAAAAAACTTTCATACTTCCATGCAGCATTGCAATCTATCACAGAACCACAAATACTGGGTTCCCCTTCACTGATCCAGTGATCCAATAGGTGAGGAAAGTCATGTCTTGATGGCCTTCCGGAAGGCATGAAAGGTAGGGTTCTGTGTATCTTGAGGATGTCTGTTCTACAGAGTAGAAGCAACTACAAAAAGACCCATTTAATAAGTTCCACCAAATGACATTTAAGAGAAGAGACCAACAGTGAATCCACACATTCCAATCTAGTGGGATAGATAGCTGTATAACCATAAATTACTGATCCAATCAATTCTGGCATATTATAACAGCATGAATAATAGCTGTATTTGCCTCATTCCAACCAGGTAAATTTCATTATATATACCCATTTCTCTGCCAACTGATATTTTATATAATCAAATATTATTTTATATAATATTCAAACTCGTAGTAATCTAATCCATAATTTAATATTTAGACATGAAAATAAAAGTACACATCATTTATCCTAGTTGCGGCTAAAATGTACATAATGTAATAATGCTGTTCAATTATTTGGCTGCAATACATTGAATTAGCATCCTTCTAGCCAGAGATGCAAAAACAATGGAGAACATCTGTTTCTTAAGTAAGCTAAACATTTAAATTTTCAAAAAGCATTTTCTCAAGCTATAGCTGACATTGCCAATTTCCCTTTCCAAATTTCTTTATATGCTTTACATTTTCATGTGCCTATCTGCTTAATTATTTTTTTCTTAGCCACAAACATTGCAAGGCATCCCTGAAGCATGAATGAATGAAACAATATGCATATTAAGAACAGTTGAATAAGTTAACTACGCCAAAAATATTTAAAGATAAAAATAAAAACAACTGATAATTCACCAATACTACTGTCTTTCTGTTATTTTTCATTAAGAGGCTTCCAAAGGAAAGGCCATAGTTTAGTGATAATATTTAAGGTCTGGAAGCAAAGGAGTTTTCCAGATATGGAAAAATATTTATCAAAACCCCCACAGAACTGCAGCCAATCCATGCAAACAACAAAGAAATAGATGAACCAATGGCTTGACTCAATCTGAGACATTTTTCTCTATCTCTATATCCATAGCTTAGAGTAAGAAGGGGTTGTGTGGTAAATAAAAAGCCTATACTATACCTTGCATCTCCAGATTGTCTGGACAACTGGTAGTTGCAACAGATTTTGCTGAGCTGCAAGGAATAATATAAACCAACTTCCTAACTTTCTATCCTATTCTTTTCTAAGGATTTTTTTAGACTTGACCACAAGTTGGTAACACTGTACATTCACAATAATATATAAAGATTAATGCCTTTAAATTATAGAAAGGAGACCCATAAATTTGAGAAATCAAGGCTATTTCTGTTTTTCTGAAGGACAACTCAATATGGGTCTTGGAAAACAGTATCTGAATCTGAAGAGATTTCCAAATACAGAATGCAGCTAGACAGAAAACGAATGAGAGAAAAATAGCAAAGAATCCTGTTATACATAGCTACAGTATGTATGCTGCAATATATATCTGTCATGCAATAATAAATCTGCAAAACACCAAAAATGCTGAAATGGGAGGATGGAGAAATAGGCAACAAAGAGCTGAAATGGAAATTAACTAGATAGATGGATTATGTCAAGAAGGAAGAAATAGGAAAACACTGCTCACCATGTACGTCCTTGGGTGTCATAGGACTATGGATTTCTATGTATCAGAAAATGCAATTGCATATTAGACTATAATTTCACATCCTAGAGATAAAATGTGCAGTTACTGGAAATGCTATATATTACAGTTTTAGGTAACTGTTATTAGGTACAGAGTAATTTCAACTGTATTCAAGCATTCATCCCATTCAACACTACTTACATTCTGGGCCCTTTAATCACAAAAACTGCATACACACACACACACACACACACACACACACACACACACACACACACACATATACACACCTGTTTGAAGATGCAGAGGACTGACAGGCAGCAAAAAGAGAGAGGTTTTCTTCCCAGGCTGCAGCTTCTGTTTCGGGGGACTGATTGCTGACAGAGGCCTGCTCACTTTGTTCTTGAACCCTTAATTTTTCTCCTAGTGGAAAGATTACAGCACAACCATAAGCAAATTGGTGAGGCTATGTTTCAATTGACATTTACTTCAAAATACCTATTTCCTTAGTATATAATTGAAACACATTCAGATAAGAACATAAGGTCTACTAGTTTTGATATTGAATAAAACTTTGGAAATCCATCCTTTAAACTACTCATTGCTAAACCTTGTAGAGTGTTTTAAGTGGATTTTATAATTATTATTTTTTAAAAAATCCTAGACTTCAAAGGCTTCAAATGATAGAACGACTTTCTGATATTGGAAGAAAAGGAATAAACTGCAAGAGAAATGAATGAGTATGTAAGCAAAAACACTATTTCCCACCCTTCACACAGAGACTGGCAAATCTGCAGAAAGAAGCTGCTCTCCCTTCATTGAAGTCACTGAGGATAGAAATTTTACTCCTGTGAAGCTTTTCAGATCACAAGTAAACAGAGCACTTTTTGATACAGCAACCTCAGCCTTTTTAATAAATAGCCTTTCCCAAGTCACACAGCAACACATACACGCACATTCAGATAGGTATATTTAAGTAAATAAAACTAGCACAGAAGTGGTAGGATTCAATTTTTTTTACTACCGGTTCTGTGGGCGTAGCTTGATGGGCAGGGCGGGGCTTGGTGGGCGTGGCAGAGAAAGGATACTGTAAAATCTCCATTCCCTTCCCACTCCATGGGAAGGTTACTGCAAAATCCCCATTTTCTCCTGATCAGCTGGGACTCAGGAGGCAGAGAATAAATGGGGGTGGAGACAGTCTGAGGTGGTATTTATCGGTTCTCTGACTGCTCAAAATTTCCGCTACCGGTTCTCCAAAACTGGTCAGAACCTGCTGGATACCACCTCTGTAGCACAGTGAAAATTTGACTACAAATTTTCAAATGAACAGTAGTCAAATGAACAGAAAAAAATGTTATGTATATGAACATAGAATATAGGGTTGGACAAGACATTGGAAGTCTATTAGTCCAACCCACTGCACAAGCAGGAGATGCTACCATTCTGGACAAACAGCTCTCCAGAGTCTAAGTGAGGGTAGAAGGGTAGAGGATACTCTTAAGAGAGGGTGGAAAAAAAGGAACAAAGTTGTTAAGTAAACAAAAAAAAAAAAGTCACCTTCACCAGATCAAAGAAATTGGGCCTGAGCACAGTGAAACCTCTCCCTTAATCCCATTAAAAGCTACCAGACTTGAAAATCAACAAGGCAAGAGTAATTGCCAGTTTTGAGAATCAACAAATCAAGGATTTGGAGGCATAAAAGAAGACTACCCACTCTTTTGGATCTAGGCTTGCCGGCTTCCAGCTATTGCCTGCCAGCCTAGTTGAGAAGGACAGGGGTAAGTGTGAATGAGTGTGTGCGTATGAGAAAGAGCATATATAGGATTGGCTGAAAGTGATTTGAGTGAGTGACCATAAGACAAACCTGGGAGTGCATGTAACACTAGAGCAGGGGTGTGAAACTCCATTTCATTGAGGGCCATATCAGGGTTGTGTTTGACCTTTGGGGGCTGAGGTGGGTATGGCCAGGGTGTCATTGGCACCTGTGGTGGCCCAAGTGCTCTGCCAGCAAAAATGGGCTCCTTAGCTTCATTTTCGGCTGCGACGGCCTCCTGCAATCCTCTGCAAGCAAAAATGGAGCTTGGGAGTGCTGCTCGCGGTCCTCGCGAGCTCCATTTTCGGCTGCAATAGCTTCCTGCAACCCTCTGCCAATGAAAACTGAGCTCAGGAGGGCTACGTGTAACCTTCCCGAGTTCCATTTTCGCTAGCAGAGGCACCGCAGGCCAATCCTTCGCTGTTTCCAGGGCAGCCCCACGGGCCAGATCTAAGCACCATGCGGGCCGGATCCAGTCTCCAGGACTTGAGTTTGATACTCCTGCACTAGAGCAATCCTGGATTTTTTCTCACCTTGAAAAGCATTTTTTTAGTATGGTTTTATGATTTTACCTAGAAGTGTTGATCAGTCTTTCAGTGTTATGGATTGCAAAAGGATTGCAGACTGTTAGTTTGATATCCTTCCACCCAATAAGATTTATGTCCATACAGAGGAAGAATACTATTGCTGGATAAACTAAAAGCAATAACGTTTTATTCCTGGAAGCCTTTCAGATTTTGAGAGCTTCAAGGGCTGCATAAGATGTCAATAGCAAGATTCAAAAAAAACCTTGCTATTTCTGTTTATTTTTATTCATGAGAGATTTACTTTAAAAAAAAAGTCAAGATTCAGTGACAGGCCAAAAAAGCAAACTTGTTAACTTGAAAACAGTTGGGATTTAGATCTTTACAATGAAGTGATTGCCAAGATGAAAGTGCAAAATAAGAAGCTTTCCATGGAAGTATAAAAAATAAATATGTCCATAAATAAAAGTAATTATTTTTAAAAAATTTGGACCTCAATATACTCACAGGCATGCCATTCCATTTCACTGTAAGCAATAATACACTTAAAATTATTGGAAAAATAATATTAAGCAAAAGAAATCTGACACAGGAGATAAGGGGGGGAGGGGGAGGAAATCTCAGTAAATCTAATTTATACCAACATAATTCATTATTATCTCCTCATCCATCATTTCCTTGCTAACTATCCTTGCTTCTATCCTTATATAACAACTGGCTCTCATTCTCTAGACTTAATTCTTGTCTCTTTTGAAGGATCTCAACAATTCCATTTAACTGACTTTCCCAGTAGTCATCTTCCTCTCAGCCAATTTTCCTTCATGAGATTTATCTTCATTTATGAGCCCTGTATGGCCAAACCACTTCTCTCATTTCTCATACTGATCACTCACTTATGTATTTAATAAATTCACACCCATTGATTCTTGACCATATTTGTTCTCTTTTACCATAGACACTTAAGTAATCTATTAAGGGGCTGCCACAAAGACAAGGGGGGTCAATCTATTTTCAAAGCACCTGAAGGCAGAACAAGAAACAAAGAACAGAAACTAATCAAGGAGAGAACCAACCTAAAAATAAGGAGAAATTTTTGGACAATGAGAACAATTAATCAGTGGAATGGCTTGCCTTCAGAAGTTGTAGGTGCTCCATCACTGGAGGCTTTTAAGAAGAGATTGGACAACCATTTTTCTGAAATGATGTACGGTCATCTGCTTGGGCAGGGGACTGGATTAGAAGACTTCCAAGGTCCCTTCCAACTCTGTTATTCTGATATTCCCATTGTATTCAACTTAGTTCTATGTTTCTTCTGATACATTCAACTCTTACTTCACTTAATAAACTGAGCTGTTTTAGACAATTATTTTTGCTTCTTTTGAAATGTATCACATTACTTGTTCTCTTTCTATTAACATTTGCATCTATTAAATGCTTTTCATCCATTTTTTCATCTTTAGTAAACATTTTATTAAGATACCCAAAATCACATTCTTGTGTAATTACTGTTCCACCATATGTGTATGATTTGCACTCATTCACTCATTCTGTTTTCTGTCACTTACACCTAACAAATCAAATACTGTTAATTACATACATTATATATTCTTCAATACATCTAACAAATCTAATAATTACATCTAATAATCTAACAAAGGCTGCAAATCATTCAAGTTTTCAGCAATGAAATTGTCAGCATATAAAAGGACCTACACATTCGTGTTCTTAAGTAATATTTTTATATGTTTATCCATGAATACTTTAAAAAGCTAAGTATTCACATATCCTTTCTTACTCCTGGCTCACTATTGAATATTCATATAGCATTATAATTACTGTCACACATGCTTTAGTTCCATGGTATATCTCTCTTACAAGGAGCAAACAATCTGCAATTCCAGATTTATACGAAATATTCCATACTTCAAACCTATTCACTTTATCAAAAGACCTCTCCAAATTTCTCAATGATCTACTGAGGAACAATATGGTCTTTAATTCCAAGAAAAATTAAACAGCATTGCATTTTCCAAAATTTGCCCATTGTCATTTCTTGTATCCTTTGGATCAGAATTTTGCCCAAACGCTTCCCAGATATACTTGGTAAATTATTCCCAATGGATTCCCGTATTCATTGCTGTCACAGTAACAGTATTTTTTCCAACTGTCAGACACAGATGCTTTCTTAATATACACATTGATCAAATTACAGTCACTTGTACAAACCATAACCACATTTTTTTCAGTTCTATCATTTATATCTGCAGTTTTACTATTTTTCAATATTCTCAGAGCATTTATAATTTCCTTTTCATCATTTGTTCCCCTTGGAAATTAAAAAAATAAGATTCCATTTCAATTCTGCTTAGTTCCCGTCACTCTGCGGGAAGCACCTTATTTAGCTAACTTTGGCTAACTTCCAAAACAATTTGGGATTGCTTTGAAACAATATTTGGAAGTGGAATTTTTAACAACAATTTTTATATACATGTAAATTTTGCATGCAATGTTCCTTAATATACAATTGTTGTATGCAGTTTTTCATACCATTTTTTAAACTCAAAGAATATTTTTTTAAAAATCCAGAGAAGTATAAAAACTGATAAATGACTGAATTCTGACTACTTCTAAATTTATTAGTTAGTTTATATTAAAAAGTGAATTAAACAAATTTATAATTCTTGCTTTATAATTATGCAGCTTGCTCTAAATCATTTCACTCATATCCTTTTTCATCCTATTTTCATCCTACAACTATTGTTCTGCCCAACTCATGCCCCATACTAACATGTTCCTTACCATAAGAAATAGAGTGCATTCAGAAAGTATTCCCATCACTTTGGTCAAATTTGTTATGCTGCAGCTGGATTTTACAGTTGTTGAATTTTTTTTCCCTCATTAATCTATACTCAGTACCCCATAATGACAAACATCCCTAGGGGAGGCAGATCTCCCTCCACATGGAAGATCAAGTTGAAAATTGTCTGAATCTCATTTTTTTTTTGTTTGAGATGTGGAAAAAGGGAAGCACGGCAATAAAAGACGGAATTTTATTAAGGAAATTTTAAGGGGAGGGGAAAATATAAACTATAAACATTGGTAGGATCTAGACCACTTAAATTTAAAGTTTTTTTTTAAGCCTGACATCACTACTTTTTTTAACATTACGCATTATTTCCAATTGGAAAGAAAAAAGATAAAAGTGAGAAAGTTATGGAAAACAGAGTGTTAGGACATTAGTGAAACACAGTTTGCATTCATCTGCAATTCCGTTGTAGAAAATATAGGTCCATGTCAGCTGAGGGAACAAACCCCATAGACAATATCAGCAATAAAGATCAGAGATATAAGAGCAAAAGAAAACTTTCTCTGAAGATCTTTTAAAATGTCTGTATTTCATCCATATGAATATGAATATCTCAGCCATTCCGTATAAATAAATCTCCACAATACTTTCGGAAGGCACTGTAAATTAGCTAGAAGGAAAAGTCATAAATTGAAATCAGCTGGATAGCAGAAATTCAGACCATAAGAAAAAATAACAGCAACATTAGGAATTAGAAATGCAGGAGCCAAAAATTGTTTCTATTTTCCTGATACACAATAGAGAATATATGTATTCAGGGCTGAACTGTGAAGTCCTCAGTGCCTTCTGAGCTTATTGCTTGCAAATATTTAATTATTTTACTGGGTAACATGATCAGTACTAAACATCATCACTGATGATGTTACTAGTTAGGTAATGACATGTCTGCATGAGAATAACCAAGCTCAGAGAGCACCAAGGACTTCACAATACAATTTCCCTTTTTGTGATCTTTCTTTGATACAGAATATAGCGTAAAATAACTATACAAACTGTGTATCTTTATGATTTTAAAAACCTTATTAAAACAAATGTTATGATTCTTGTCCAATTTTAGTAAACTAGGTAGCAAACAAACAATTCACAAACATATTTCAATTGGATGCAATTCTATCTTCCAAAGCTAGAAATTTACAAAATAAAATTGGACAGGTGTTTTAGAAGTTCACTAAATCAATTCTTATGGAAATTGATATGTTTTATTTTTTGTTTAATTAATGAAATTATATTAATCATAATTAGCACTGAATACCACTGTCAGTAGTTGCTTCTTTCTGCTCTGGTCTTTCTTCTTTGTGCTCTGGTTTTTCTTCCTTTATCTGTTCTTTGCTTGCATTTTTCTTTCGTTTTTTCATTTGGTCAATTAAAAGCTGAAATTCAGCTTTGTGTTTCTTTCCTGAAAAATAAAAAAAAAAGTGTAAAGAAGATCCTTAACATGTGCATAAATGTATACCAAATTACTTATTTTATTTAAATTTTTTGGCATATTTTCATTGAAACTGAAGTCATTTAAACACAGCTTTAGAATAAAGTAAAGGAAATGTTAGGCAGAAGATATTTTGCTATTGCTTTCTTTTTGATGTACCACAAATGGTTAACTGGGATGGTTAAAATATGTTTTTTTGGCCAGTAATTTTAGCAGGAATTATTGCTAGGATAGTATAAAGAACTAGAAATATGTTCTGAACACAGAGAAAGATGTACCAGACCACCAGAATTGATGAAAATTGAACACACATTGAACAAGAATCATGGTGCTCAGCCAAACTTTGCTTATTGCGGTACCGTAGGGTTCTATGTATAATTCTATTTTGTCAGACTTCTGGCAAACATTGTTATCATCCTCAGCTTTCTCCAATATGTATGTCTTTTCACAAATGCAGCTTTTCAGGTTGTTTTGATTTCATTTACCTTCTGGACTGGCCACACTCACTGTCACTTAGTAGAACTATTCGTCCTGTTTGCATGGGTAATTAAAATGTATTAATTGTATAATGCACTGATGCTATTATGTTTTCAGTCAGCCAACTCTAAGGCAACAAGGCAAGAAAGCATGTTACATCAAATCATTCAATAGGCATCTTGTACAGTTCTGTCAGGAATCTAGTTCTAAAAATACAAAGACTATAAATCGCCAATGAAAGGACAATTTGAATACAAAGCTGTGATATATAACCAGGATGAAAAAAATGCAACAATGCAAGCCTTAATAAAATATGTTACATCAAATCATTCAACATGCATCTTCGTCAATTCTGTCAGGAATCTAGTTCTAAAAATACAAATCACAAATTAGACAATTGCTTTGAAGATTCTGATATATAACCGGATGAAAAAAAATCTGGCATTACCACTTTAAATGCAAAATTATGTGCACTGAAATAAAATTGGATTGGGTTACTTTCTTCATATGTATGTACAACAGTCCTATAAGACAGATAAGACAGTTATAGAACAATGGACAGAACATTTGTAGGAAAGAATCAAATGACAACTAGTAGATATATCAGTCTTTCTCTATTCAACCAATTGTTCTTCTTTTATCTTTTTTTCTTGTTTTTTTTTCAACTGATAAGAGTCTCACTCTAAAACAAATCCAAATAATTATATTTATCTTAGCAGAAAATATACTCTTTAACCTTGCCAAAAAATTGGATGGTACACATGCCTTCAGATCCCAATCAAGATCATTTCTTAATCAAGCTCCATATTCAGGCATTATATAATAAAAGTACTGAAGAATTTATTAAATATTCTTTAATAGACAAGAGACAAGTTTCTGTATGATATGTGAAGTTATTTAAGCTGTTCTTTTATAACACGCTGTTGAAAAAGCAAACAAAGAAGCCCACTTGCTCAATAAATAAATAGAGGCATCTTGTTGTGGTTTGCCAGGAGCCTGCGGAGCTGGCAGCGGAGTTGGACAGCGATGAGGCTGAGGAAGAACACGGGCCAGTTCTGAAGGCTGGGGAAGGCCCGGATGAGGGCTCTGCGTCGGGGGTAGAGATGGGGCCAAGGCCATCAGGGAGTGATGTGCGAACTCCGGAGCCTCCAGAGGCTGACAGTAGAGAGGCAGAGGAACTGGAAGAGCCTGTTCCTAGTGCACATATGAGAAGAGCTGCCAGAAGGCAAGAGCAGCTAAAGCAAAGAGGACGACTCGGGAATAGGGCCAAGAGATGATTGGCCCCTCCCATAAGGCTTAAAAGACCAGCAATGGCTCTTGGCCTCTTTGTTGGAAAACGTTGATAGACATTTATTTATTATTTATTTATTTATTATTTATTTATTTAAATTTTTATACCGCCCTTCTCCCGAAGGACTCAGGGCGGTGTACAGCCATACTAAAACAACATATACCCATAAAATTTAAAAACAGTTTAAAATATATTAAAAATTTGGCCCTTATATTAAAAAACTACAAACACCCAATTAAAATTCATTTTCTAAGCCAGCCCAGCCTGTTGAAACAATAGAGTCTTAAGGGCACGGCGAAAGGTACGTAGGTCAGGGATCATGCGAATCTCCGAGGGCAATTCATTCCAGAGGGCAGGTGCCCCCACAGAGAAGGCTCTCCCCCGGGTGTCGCCAGTCGACATTGTTTGACCGACGGCACCCTGAGGGGTCCCTCCCTGTGGGAGCGTGTTGGCCAGTGGGAGGCTATCGGTGGCAGGAGGCAATCTCGTACGTATCCAGGTCCTAAGCCATGGAGCACTTTAAAGGTGGTAACCAGCACCTTGAATCGCATCCGGAAGACCACTGGGAGCCAGTGCAGCTCACGCAGGAGAGGTGTTACATGGGTGCGCCGTGTCGCTCTCATAATCACCCACGTGGCTGCATTCTGGACCAGTTGAAGCCTCCGAGTGCTCTTCAAGGGGAGCCCCTTGTATAGAGCATTACAGTAGTCCAGACGGAGGTGACGAGGGCATGAGTGTTCTTGTCTTGCTGCGCTTATCTCTTGTCGGCGTCTTCTGCTTCTGAACTTTTGCCAAGAGAAGCCTTTGGCAGTTTGCCTAATTATACCAAGGTTGGTGATTAGACTGAAGAATTTGTGTTATAAAGAATTTGTTTTGATTTAGTTTGGACTATGCTGAGAATGAGTTAATTCTCAACTGTTCTAATAAAGTCTGTTTGTTTTGGAACTGTTTGCGTCAACTACTACCTACTTGGGCCTGGGTCACAACACATCTAACCATCCTTGAAGATTTTTCTGACATGACTAAAAGCACCATGGCAGCACTTTTAAGAAATCCTGATATGCAATACCTGCTGGTCTATGACCATAATAAAGATTTGATTTATTGATATGTAGTATTTTTAAATTTAAGATGGAGACTCCAAAGACCAGTTGTCTTCAGCCATTCAGAGTTCTCACTATGTACAGTATATAACATTCAAATAAAAAAAAAGATTCAAGAAATATAAGCACCAAAAGAGAAGAGAGTATGTAAGGAATCACACATTGTCACTCTTCTAAATCTGAAATATCTTCCAATCAAAACTACCTATTCAAGGTTTTATCTTGAACTCAATGACATTAAACTTCAAGGAATAAATAATAATCCAAAATAATAGTAAAGTCTGCCAGCTGATTTGACAAAGTTTAGTATCCTTTGGGGATACTTTTGGGATACTTCCGTTTTGGGATAACTTCCCTCTCCCAAGCATTGATTTCTTCTTTTGATCCATCCAAATTCCGAACCAATATTTAAGGCAAAACTTCGATAACATCAAGGCTTTGTTCTAAAAACTTAACCTGGATGAACAACAATGATTTATACAGAATCTGTCCTGTAAGTATCCCAAATCTGATCACGGAGACAGAACTAATGGTTTCCAACTTGAAGCCTGATAAAGCTTCCTTCAATCTATATCCTTTATTGAGACTAAAGCAAATTTCCTCATAAGATGCTATTGAAGGGACAACTGGGCACATTTTATGTTTTTTATTTAGTTCAGAACACTTGTAGTATGCTCTTTCTTCAAGAACTGTTGTTGGAAGAAAAATCCAATCCGGTTCCAAGCCAGGAGAAAGATGCTGGAAATAAAATGGAGACAGGCTGCAAGAAAGGAAGTCTCGGTTTATTTGGTAGCCAGAAACTAGTGACAGCAGACGCTTCTGAGATGGCTGGCAAAATGGGGATTGGGAGTAGATGGGCTTTTATACATTCTTTGGGGCTTTGTGATTGAGATGCCTGTTTGTTGTGAAGTGTACTTTGATATGTGCTTGAGTGTGCCCTTTTTGGTATTCTAATTATTGTTGCCTGACTCCCATTGTGGCTGAGAGATCATGCCTTGTCCTTAGAGCTGGGCAGGGAATGTAGATTTTTGTTTTTCTGCTTTTAATTCTGTTAGGAAATGATAATTACCTAACTTGTTGGGTTGGCAATATATAAACCCTCAATATAGCTTTAAGACTTATTGTTGTATTGCATCATACTGTGTCCTGATTGGTTAGCTCTGTAGCCAATGTCCTTAAGAGGGAGCTTGAAACATGGTTTGTTTCTCTTTGCTGATCATTATTTCTCTTTGCTGATCATTACTGCTCTTTGCTGTGTTTGCTATTGTTTGCAACTGTTTATTGTGTATGACTATGACGACTGGTAAGAAGACTTTGTTATTGGATTATCCCTGGACTATTGTTTTACTATCTACTGCTTTATCTGTGTATGACCTGGACTGTTTATTGGACTGTGCCTTATTACTATTTCCTAAAAGTAAACACAACTTAGTGTATCTGTGTGTTGGCTGTGATTATTCGCAACTGCTCTCAGTCGCTTTCATGTGCACACCCTTGCTACTTCAGGGTTGCTCTGCGAATTCCTTAACAAATTCCATCAGCTTCAGCCTTCTGTGGGAGCTGTAGATGAAGGTGTTTTAACAGATTAACAGAGTTGGAAGGGACCTTGTAGGTCATCTGGTCCAACCCTCCCCCTCCGCCCAAGCAGGAGACCCTTGTTTTGTTTATATCTGGCTTTCTGTGAATGGATACTGAATGGCATTTATTCTCAGTAGATACAAAAGTATCTCATTCATAAAACTTAACTGTTGGAGGGACTGCCTGGAGAGTTTTCCTGGTAGTGGAGAGAAGTGAATGATTTGAGCCTCCTTTGGGGGAGGAGCTGCCTTCCTATACTGTGAAACAATATTTTAATCTAAGAGCACCAAAAAACTCTATAGCTAGGTAGAGCAATGGAAGGTCAGTGGTACAGCAGAGCTGAATAGCTCTTGCGACAGATTTAGCATGCTTCCATCTGATCCCAAAATCGTTTAGGAATATGCCTATATCAGAGGAACTAATTTGATTTGTCAGCCTTATATTTTTCAGATCCCACCATTTTTCACTCAAATAACAGGTCTTCTTCTAAGTACTGAAAAAGGCAGATCCTGTTTCACAAA